CAATGGTACATATGGTTCAAAACCATAGAATTCGTCTTCAGCTCCACTTCCATCAGTCTTAGAACTGTAAGTTGTGAAGAGGAGAGTCAGAATTCGCCCTGAGAGTGAGTGGGGAGTGAGAGCTTCCTTGCCGCCAGGCACTATGAACAAAGCTACTTTGCCGGCGTTCCCAAATGCCATGCAGGCATCCAGATTTTTTCTATGGTGTGCACACTGACCACCCAGACCCATTCTCTCAGATGTAGGCCTACCAGCCTTCTCGTGCTAAATTTGACGCCGCTAGAATTTTGGCGTTGATCTACAGTTTGGACCCTGAACATAAAGCCGTAAATCTATGGGACGGACCCTGAAAGGGTTAATGAAGAGAATTAAATTATTTGAGGACCAGGCAGGACTACAAAGAGACCTGGACAGACTGAACACATGATCCAGCAACTGGCTTCTCGAATTCAACCCCGCCAAATGCAAAGTCATGAATATTGGGGAAGGGCAAAGAAAACCACAGCTGCAGCATATGGACGCCTGGCAAACCTGAGAATAGCGTTCCGATACCTTAGTAAGGAATCGTTCAAGACACTGTACACTATGAACGTCAGGCCCATACTGGAGTATGCAGCACCAGTTTGAAACCCACACCTGGTCAAACACGTCAAGAAATTAGAAAAAGTGCAAAGGTTTGCAACAAGGTTAGTTCCAGAGCTCTGGGAAATGTTCTTAAAAGAAAGGTCGAGGGAAATCGGCCTAATGACACTGGAGGACAGGAGGATCAGGGGAGACATGATAATGACATACAAAATACTGGTGGAATAGATAAAATGGACAGAGACATGATGTTCCACTGAGGGGACAAAGAAACAAGGGGTCACAATTGGAAGCTGAAGACTCGGATGAGTCACAGGGATGATAGGAAGTTTTTCTTCAGTCATAGAGTTGTCAGGAAGTGGAATAGTCTACTAAGTGATGTAGTGGAGGCAGGAAGTGGACGAGGTATGACAAAGCTCGGGGAGCGGAGAGAGAGGACCAAGTAGCAATCAGTGAAGAGGAGGGGCAAGGAGTTGAGTCTCGATCTCTGTAACCACAATTATTTGAGTACAATTGAGTGTGTGTGTACACTTACACACTTACACTTACACACACACACACACACTAGTCCCCCCTGTATCCATGGGTGATATATTCCAAGACCTACCGTGGATACCCAAACCCATGGACTGTGGTAGAAGGGTGATGGGGGAGGCTGGTAGGTGGTGGTAAATGGGGAAGGGTGGTGGTGGAGGGTGGTGGTGGTTGTGGGAAGGTTGAGGGAGGGTGGTGGTGGGCGTGGGAGGGTTGAGGGAGGGTGGTGGTGGTTGTGGGAGGGTTGAGGGAGGGTGGTGGTGGTCGTGGGAGGGTTGAGGGAGGGTGGTTGTGGGAGGGTTGAGGGAGGGTGGTGGAGGGGAGGGTGGAGTAAGGAGGGAAGGAGGGTGGTGTAGGGAGGGAGGGAAGGAGGGAGGGTGGTAGAGAGAGGTGGGAGGGTGGTGGAGAGAAAGAGGTTGGAGGGTGGTGGAGAAAGGGAGGTGGGAGGGTGCTGGAGAGAGGTTAGAGGATGGCTGAGGGAGGAGGGAGGGTGGTTGAGGCAGGAGAGAGGGTTTTTGAGGGAGGAGGGAGGGGGAGGGTGGAGGAAGGATGGTGGGTGGAAGGAGACAAAAGGGATTGTCATGGAAGGGGGAGGGAGGGTGGTTAATGGAGGGAGGGTAATGAAGGGAGGAGGGAAGGTGGAAGACGAAGAAGGGAAGGCGGAGGGGGGGGAAGAGGGAAGGTGGTGGTAGGATAAAAGTTATGAGGATATATGACTGAATTTTGGATTCAATTTTATAAATTAAATGCTCTACAGTGCTCGTCATGGCATTATGCCTGGTGAGCGCCCTGGCATAATCCCGAGATAATAATCAAATTCCTACCACACAGGGAATATTTTTTCGTTAGTGCATTATCCTGGGTAGCAGCCATTAGCATGACTTCATGGCCTGCCACCACACTCACAGTGACTCCTCAGTGCTCACATGGCTGCCATGGTGAAAGGAAGTTTTGCACTTTTTTCTGTCAACCACCTCATCTTTTGTCCAGTGTTCCCTTTGGTTTTGGGGTGAGACATGTTTGATTATGGATAAAAGGAAGTCTTTAACACAAGAAACTATAGCTCAAATCATAGGGCTTCACAAAGCTGGGCATCAGGCAAAATAGTGGAGAATGTTGGTGTGTGTGAGCGTTCAGTGAGGAACTGGGTGCACCATTTCAAGGCTGGTGGTGGTGTCAAGATACCGTCTGCCAAACCTCAGCCTGGCCCCTCGAAGAAGACATCTGTTTGTACCTTAAATGTGTTAATGAAGCAGTTAGAGAGTACACCTAAGATAACTGCTAGAGAATTGAAAGAAAAGAACCCACATCTTCTCTCAGAGGTGTCTGTAAGAACTGTTAACACACGTGTCAGAACTGGGCCACAGTAGTCACCGCCAGGTTAAGACACCGATCCTCTCCAAGCCACAGGAGAAACATAGACTGGATTATGCAAAGAAATATCTTCACTGGAATTCTCAACAGTGGTCTGAAGTACTTTGGAGTGATGAAGGAACCTTCACCGTCACCAGTAACCAAGGTGAACATGTGTACCAGCCCAGAGATAGTGACCCACTAGACCCATGCTACACCTGTGGGGCCATCAAACACCCAAGTCACTCATGGTTTGGGGGGTGTTTCAGTGCTCAGAGTGTTGGTAAACTCATTGTGCTTCCCAAAAACTGGCATATGAACCAGTATAATTACCTTGAGTTATTGTGTGACAATTTACCTGAGGCATTTGACAAGTGTGGGGCTAAGGTTTTTATGCAGGATGGTACACAGTGTCATACCACCAAATCTATAGTACAGTGGCTTAAGGAGAGTGAAGTGAGGTTCTTTAATGACTGGCTAGGCAATTCCCCAGACCTAAACCCTATTGAGAACCTCTGAATAGAAAAACTAAGTTTACTGGGCAAGGATATCAGTTCCATCCCATGGCTGGGTGCTGCTCTACATGAGGCATTGAATGATATACCTCCTCAAACCCTCAAGAATTTGTGTGTGAGTCTTCCTACACAGCTGAGGGACATGATTAACCCTTTCAAGGTTGGTGCCGTACTAGTACAACTTGCACGCCAGGGTTGGTGCCATACTAGAACGCATAAATTCTAGCGCCTTCAAATCTAGCAAGAGAACGCTGGTAGGCCTACATATGAAAGAATGGGTCTATGTGGTCAGTGTACACAGTATAAAAAAAATCCTGCAACACACAGTGCGTAATGAGAAAGAAAAAACTTTGACCATGTTTTTGGTTTAAAACAGTGACTTTGCACTGTATTTTTGTATGGTATTTATGGTTGTATTTTAGTTTTCCTGGTCTCATATTATAGAATGGAAGACATATTGCAGAAATTGAGATGATGTTGATTGGTTTCACAATGAAAAGTACCTTGAAATTGAGCTCAAAGCAGCAGAAATGTTTGATTTTTGCCCAAGTTCAAAAGTAAACAAATCATGCCACGTGTCCAATACACGTCAACTGGCAGTCTAATATTCTTTCACAAGTACGCTGATATTATTTATACCGC